TTCGTAACATCGTTGGTCCAAATATTAAGAGTTTAAGTTCAGAGAGCTTTACTGATCTTTATCCGATTCGTTTAACCTTTAAAATCAGTATGAATTATTCAAAATGTTTGTTTTCGGTCTTGAAATCCAAACTCAAGGATTCATATTTATTAGACATAAATGATATTGATTAAGCTTATAACAAATTCCAAAGCAAAATATTGATATCATTAAATGCATTTGCACCTAAGCAGCCAGCAAAAACATCTCGAAAAATTGTTTACCAGGCAAATTATTAACTGGATTATTCGAAGAAACAAACTCTAAAACTTGTCCAAATAAGATAGAATTGACGTTGCCAAAAAACTCAAAATTGTTGCTGAAAGGAATAAAGTTAGTGAAGTTAATAGACTTGAGAAAATAAATTCTAATAAAGTAGGTTCTATAAACGTATCGGAGACTCGAGACAGGTTTTTGACAAACTAACTCTCTTGTAAAATTCACAAAGTACAGGTTGAACCAAAATTTTAGCAGGCCTAGATAAAACACAACCAAAATTTTAGCAGATAAAACACAGCTACGGGCTAAAGCTGGAGGTATGAGTTTGATATTGAAAGATTTTACTATAATGATGCGGAACAAAAATGTGATTTCAAAAACTGGACCGCCCAAAACCTTAGTTGTTTCTTTACTTAATTATTTTGAGATAATCAATTTTTAGCTTTCGCTTTTGCAGGAACCAGTATCGCAACCGGTTCGTTCAATTGATTTTTAAATTTCAGATTTCATTGTGTAAGTTTTAAGAAAACTCAAAAAGTTGCTAAAAATGGTGATAACTTCTAAAAAAAACAGTCAAAAGGATTTCATAAACCCATGAAATTTTCCTGCAAAGAGCAAGTTGTGACCGCTCAAGCAGAGAATATTCCTATAACCGGGTTTCTCGATTCAACACGAACTGAGAATAGGCATGTTCGTTTTGGCGTAAAGTCAAGAAGTTTGCTTTTTGAAGGCCATAACTTTTTTCTTAAAGAAACTGGGCATTGCCAGTTACAACGGTAGGCTCTTAACAACCTGTTGTTTTGATTAAACCTATGTTATCAGATTTGGCAATATAGTTTGCGAGAGTGTCCAAAAACGGTCAACTAACCAAAAGTTTGACATTTCCGAGATTTATAGCTTTTTGTGTAAAAACAATAGGAAGTAGCTGCTTGCGCATAAGGTATTCCACTCAACCCGCAGTTTCGATTGAACCCAAAATCTTGAGGAAAAATGTCAAAAAATTGAAATTAGTTTTTTTTGAAGTCAGAAAAATATGGGAGTAGTCGCATAAGCAACTCATTTTTCCTTAACCTGTTTTCCGTTTTTGAACTGAAACCAAAAAGTCAAGAACATGCAAAAAATTTACATAAAGGCAAAAAATCAAAAATTTTGACTATTCCGAAGGCCATAACTGTATGTGTGAAAAAATTGGGCGTAGCCGCCCATGCAGTGAGCTTTTCGAGACTGTTCTTTTCATAGAAACTTAAAATTCAGATTTGAGAGTTTTTTTAAGAAAACGAGAAAAAACGGGTCAAATATTCCCCCACAGACTTTTTCGAAGGCTGTAAACAATGGGGTCAAGTGAAAAGAGTCTCTAGGGGAGTATACAGGCACACAGGGGAGTAGGCGGTCTTTCAATTGTTACCCTTTTTTTAAAGTCATTGAAAAAAATTTCCTATAACTTTGAAAATAATTTTCCATAAAGAAAAAAATAAATTTAACAAACGAATTGGTAAACATACAACCAACAATTAAAAAAGCAGATGAAAGTGTTCAGGTTGTCTTTTGTTGAAACGATCAAATATTAGGTCATTAAGTCGATAAAAAATAGTCCAAAATAAATTGGGCCGAAGAACTGAGCAAACGAAAAAAGGAAATACGAAGTCAAGGTAAGTAAAACTACAAAATGTGACAGTAAATCAAACACTAGAGCAACACTAAAAAAAACTGAGTGTAGCAAAAAAAAACGATTTCAAGATGTGGCAACTAATCCGACAAAAAAGCAGACAAATAATTTGCCGACAATTTTTGTTGAAATTGAATTTTTCCTGTTTGAAAAAAAACAGGTCCTGGTCGGATTCGAACCCAGGACCTTTGACGTCCCATGCATATTTGCTACCTCCGGGCTAATTTGGCCGAGAACGCACGCAAGTTTGAATTTCTTATTAACCAAAATACAAAAGATTCAAGTGATTCTGTTAAACATGTTGTTAACCCAAAAAAAATCCGCGTTCCAGTCTGATATGTCTTGATTATCACAAGTGTGATAAAAGTACTTTTATTAAATTTGGTCATCTTACAGAATATTCCAATCTTCATTTTGCTTTTAATCACACAGAGGCGACTCAGAGCTCCGCACCACTTGCGATGCAACACAAACATCAACAACATAGGTCGAAACAAAATTTCAAATATTGAAAAAACTAGTTGAACCAAAATTAGGTCTAATTTAAAGCAAGTAGGGTCCAGCTAAAGCTGGATGTATGTGTTTGATATTGATTGAACTAGCTATACTGATGCGGCACGAAAAATGTGATTTCAAAAACTGAACTTTGCCCAAAACCTTGGTTGTTTCTCTACTACAATAAGTAAGAGTAAAAATTTTGTGCAAATCAATTTTCCTATTGAGATAAAAAAATTTCTTTTAAAAATTAAAGGAGCCGCGGCTTCTTCAGGAAACTGAGAATTGTCAATAAAAAAAACCAAAAAAAACCGGAAAAAATGAAAACTTTTGAAAAAAACTAGGTTATTTTAATTTTCATATGTCTGGATAGAAGTTCATTCCAGGTAAATATGCCAGACACACGAAAACAGGAACAGAGTAACATAATTTACGAAAACAAAAAAAAGACGACAATCTTTGAGCAGACACAAGTTGCGCCGAAATAAATATGATTTCATAAAAAAATTTGAAGTCCCACCTTAAACAACACTTGGACTATGCAACTACAATGAAAGTTGATTACAGCTCAAGAAAAATCAGTGATAAGGCAACTAAGCCAACAAGTCCCCCTTGAAACTAGAATGAACAGCACTTGAACTTATGGCAAAAAAATCAGTGATAAGAAAAAATTGAAAATCTTTCAAATCTCCCCTCAAATTAGAAGGAAAAACACGTGTACTTGCAACTACAATGGAAATAGGCATACAGCACAAGCAAAATCTGTTGTAGCATTTAAGCCGACAAAACTTGAGCGAACAAACAAAAAACCAACAACTCATTTTTCTCGAACTTTTTTTTTCAGTTTCCTCGATACTGAAAAAAACAAGGTCTTGCCACGACTCGAACCCCAGGCCTTAAGGTCCAAATGCAACTGATTTACCTCCAGGCCAAGGAGAAAGCAATCGGAAGGATTCTAAGAGAACAGAAGACAAGTGAAAAGAAGTCAGCTTCATAGTCAGCAAGGGAATTAACTGATTTTGTTAAACTAGTTGTTAGATAGAAAAAAGTCTATATTCCAGTTTGATAACGCTTGCTAATCGCAAGCGTAAGAATCTGTTTTACCCTAAAAATTCCTCTCAATAATTAGGTGTAATTGTGGATTTGTGATTTCCTAAACGAGACATGTATACTCAGAGGGTTGATGCTCAAGTATCACAAATCTAACATTCAGCCTATAATTCAATATGGCCTCCTCTTATATGGGTGCACCTGTAAATATGTCAGCGTGTCCGTCCACTTTCAGCGGAACAAAACTCTTTCCGCTCACAAGTTTTAGGTTTGTGATCTTTTGAAATTCTGTTGCCTGACTAATATTCATACCAGTAGTTTTTTGAACCAGTTTTTTCCTGCTTAAATATACTGCTTCATGCCTTCACCAGGAGGTCATGCCTTCTTCTTTACAACAAAAGATTTTGCAAAATAAACTTAAAATATTCTCTATACAGAACAGAGATTCTCTGCTCTGGAATGTTATGAGTGAAAACAATTTATTGCCAGAAAAAACTTGGACAAAGGAGAATGAATCAAATATACAATTCTGCACAGAATTAAGGATACATATATATGCACAGAATTAAGGGTACATACATATTGGGCAACTCAGAACCCATTTTGAGTTTCTATTCTAGCATGAAAATTTGGACCTTCCAATTCTTTCTAGTTTTCAGATACCGATATAAGATAAGGTATAGAAAAACTTAAAGAAGAAACTTTCTTTTCGAATTTGAACTTTAAGATTTTTGTTTTCTCCAATTTGAACTTTACGATTTTTGTTTTCTCGGATTATTAGCAAACTACTTGCACTGAAGCTGAAAATACTCATAACTGTGTAGTTTTTCGAGCTTTCCGAGTTTTTCTACAGTAAAAAGGAAATAGATGAAAAGGTATAAAAAATAGATGAAAGATTTGTAGAAAGAAGAAAGAAAAAAATAAAAGTTTTATATTTCGTTAACTTCATTGTTGGGTCTTATCAGTGTACAGTTGAGAGCTACAGTTTCAGTCTGCAAAGATGGCCTTTCACTTTCTTCTAGTTTTCTTCTAGTTTTTAAAATTTATTTGTGAAATTTTTTTTCCCAGTTCTTGATCGATTCTTGAGTACATTTCACAGTTGCAGACTAGTAATGAAATTTGTTTTCACATGTGCAATGTTGTGTCATAGGAAATATATTGATGCTTCTCACATAACTTTGAATTAATTTATAAATATTAATCTGGATGAAAACTTATTTTTCAGCTTGTGTTTTGACCAAGTGTAGACTCTAAGTGGGCATAACTTATGCCTTTTCCCTATCCTCTTAGTTATAGTGCTTGCCTTGTGATTTAAAATACTTTGTTGTACTTTTTTGGAGAAGTTATTTATTTCTTTTTATTAAAAACCAAAATATGGCCAATGTTATCTTCTAATCTAAGGAGTTACACAATCCTTTTTGGTTAAGAATAGACGGTTAGCAGACGCTGAAGAAGAAAAAACAGAAAATATTCTATGCAATAACATACCATCCGGTATTATTTTGTTTTTATATAATATTTATTTGCACACCTGAGCAGAAATTGTGTATTTCGGCAGCCCCATAGTACGTCTCCCCGTTGTCACAGTCCAGTGCCGCCCTGAACTCCACGTCATAGCAGGTTCCGAAATCAACAATGTCCGTGTATGTAGTGGGAGTAGAGGAGATGTTTCCCCAGCTTCCGCCGGAGCTGTTGCGGTACTCGTATCTGGAAGCGACTCTCGGACTCTGGTTGGTCCAGCTGAAGGTGAAGGAAGACGTGTTCGCAGTCTGCCACGAGGGCACAGGGGTCACGGGCACTAAAATTACTCACCTCATTGAATCCAAGCTTTATAGTGTTCTGGGAGAGCTCGAAAAAAAACAATATGGTTAATCTAAAAAAGGTCGACAAAATATTCGAAAAATATTTATTACCTTTCTCACATTAAATTTTTACTAATTTAACTTGTTTCAGAAATTTCAATTATATCTCGATTTTTTTTAAATCGAAGGAAATGATTGGGACAATTTTAACAATAAATATCGATAACTGCCAGATTTTGACAAAATATGACAAAAAATATCTGATGAAAATCCTCTCTTACATGTACACTCCGAGCTCTGCACGACATTCGCGGAAACTTTGTCATTGTCGCATATTGCAAATGCATATATGTCATAGTTGCACCCTGGATCCAGACCAGTGAAGTTAGCAATGCCAGGGTTCGTCACGTTCAGTTCCTCCGAGGCACACCCGGTGTCGGAGCTGTTTGCTAGAAGAGTGATCACTTGCCAGTTTCCTTGGTCCTGTGTTTCCATGTGACTGATTAGGAATCCAGTTGTAGAGGTGGAAGACTGGTTCAGAGAAGTTGCATTCACGTCGGCAGGCACTGAAAATTAAATCATGTTTTCAACTGTTTTGACAATTGAACAAAAAAGTCTGGGTCTTGTAATCATCTTGACCATATCATGAATTGTTTGCATAAAATAAAGCTTATTTGATTGAAAAATCGATATACAAGGGATTTCAACTGTTTCGACGGTTGCCAAAATGAATTTGAATCGATTCAAAAGGACTTTCTTAAGACAAAAACCAAAATATTAAAATCGATTAACTGTTAGTCAAGTAACGATAAATTTTTTGTCTAAAAACGGAATTATTTCGATCGAAACGGCATCTTTAGGCCAATTTTAAACGCATTCATTGAACTTTGGGGAATTTTGGATACAAAGTTTTGACTTTCTAGGCGGAGAAAATTAGCCCGGCCCACAGGGAAGTTCGGCGAGCACGCATTATCGTGCGATCAAAACTACCAACCACTTTATTACCAGACGAGTGCTTTGATAACCTCTTTCACCATTAGATTGTTATATCTAATATGTAGGCGATACTAACACGTGAATTCATTTGTGAGCGTGAAATTTTCTCCTGGAATTTTAACAGTCGGACTGGCCGGTTTGTAGAAAGGAATCACTACAATGTCATATCCCGTACAGCTCTGAAGTGGTTCCACAACATGAGTCGCAGGCGCCTCCTAAAAGTTGAAATCAAGACCACCTTAAGTTTTTCAAAATACAACTGATATCCTTTACTGTTAAATTCATTAAATTTAACACGCTCTAAGCACTACTAGTCCGAAAAAAAAATCACCCGCTGCGCATTAAGCGAAAAGCTTTATATCGGACCTCGTAATTCGACCCCTTTATCGCCCCCTTCATTTCGGCAATCTTCAGCGATCCCCCTTTCGTACCATTTTAATAATCCGACAACCGGCCCAAAAACTTTTCAAAAGATCAACTACTGATCTTTTCAAAAATTTTTGCAAAACTGCTTCTTTTTTAGCAGTTTATACCAAATATTTGCCCAATCGGTTGAAATATTCCGTAATTTCAATTTTCAAAAAATTGCAAATTAATTAAGTTGATCTAAAAAGTCTGAAGTTTCCACCATTTCGACTTTAAACTTGTGACGCGAAGCAACTATAGGTATAGTTTTTTCGCGTATAGAAAAAATTTTCGGTTTTTCAGACTAGATGAAACGAAACTCCAACATAAATTTAACTACAAAACTAACATTAATTGGACTATTATTACCACTCAGTCTCGCATTTTCACCTAATTCAACCGTCCGTTCTCGAAGAAATAACTGGTAATAAAGACAATTTTTTTGATTTTCAAACAATTTGCTTTACTTTTGAATTTGCTTTCTTAAATCAGTGTTTTAAGAATATTGAGTGCTACTTGTACGGCAACTGGCTATCCGTATTAGTCCGACAACTCTCGTGTAACAAAAAGGAAACTATGGATTCGGGACCATTTCTAATTTTTTTTTTCGAGCAAATTTGTCTACTTCAAAAGCTCGCACGGGAGTCAACTGTGATATCATATTAACTTTGGCCTTGATTTGCAGGGCTGGAATTGGCTTGGCTGTATACAGCGCTGTATTTGGCCAATGGCTGTATGCCGTACGCATAACAAAGAAAGCAATATTTGCTCAGAGCTCATTTGCGCTTGGTGTTATACGTTACACGTCAGGATGTCGCAATTTCTTTCGTTTTATAAATCGAAGGAAACTGAACCTGGATTCAAGTTTTGCAAATCATGCCCTGCTAAGATCAAGTTTAATGATCTTAAATCTCATGGTACTTCTTTGAAAGCACATATAACGAATAAGCATCCCGAATTTCTTGTTACGGAGAGTGGCTCCGCAGCAAAAGTGCCAAAAATAACTGAGTTTTACACGGAAAAGAGCGGAGACTTTCCTGTTTTACCGAAACTTGACCGAGTAGCTATTGCTTTGTGTTGTTCGAGCCATGTGTTACCATTCGATATTGTGGAAGACAATATTTTCAAGTGGGGTTTTGACTTTTGCGGGTACAGCAGGAAGAAAATTGCTGAGAGAGTTACAATGTTGGCTAAAGATTGGACAACAAAAACTGTTGTAATGTTTAAGAACAAGCTCGTTTCCCTTATGTTAGATGGATGGACGAATGGAATATCCAAACAACACCATATTTGTTACATTCTCAATGTCGACGGAGCTATTTTTTATTGGAGCAGTATTGTTGCAGCAGAAAAAAAAGCAGCTTACATTTCGAGAGAAACTCTTCAAATTATCGAGAAAATTGAAGAAGCAGGGGGCAAAGTTATTGCCTGTGTCGCCGACAATGCGCCCAATATGCAAGCAGCCTTGAGGCAAGTTGCCCAAGAAAAACAACGTTGCGTTAATGTTGGGTGCGTGGTACATTTGCTGAATCTGCTAATTGGCGACTTATTCTCCAATTTTAACGTTCTGAAAATTGCTCTATCAAGTGTAGACGAACTTGTTAGGACAGATCAATTGGAGCGTTACAGCTCAGTCCGTTGGAACAGTCGCTACGACGCAATAAAAAAATGCGTTGATCGAGACCTTGGCACCCTTTCCGACAAGGTGATTTTTACACAGTCTGTGAACGTACTCGAGGAAATATCGGTGCAACTCATGATTTTACAAGCAGATGAAGCGAACGTCAAGACTGTCTTCACTTCATTTGAGAAAATCTACACTAACTGGGCCGACAACCAATCAATTACCGCTAACGAGAAAAACGAAATACTTGACAAGTTCACCCGGCGTTGGGTTATTTTCGCGAAAACTCGAATTTGTGCGATCAGTTTGTTTCTGGTTGATTTTCTTGATCTACCTGCAAACACGTTAGCGTTTTTATCTAAAATGTACACTTCGGAAGATCCTGGTTGTTTGAGCTGGATTCAGGCTATGCTTCCACCACAGCGTTTTGACCAGTTTGAAACTGAACACACTACTATTCTTGACAATCAGGTCCTTGGGATACCAATTGTCACCAGCAGTTTCCCGGTTCATCAGACAATGGCGAACGTTCTGCTCAAAATTCCAATTTCGGAAGCCAGCGTTGAACGTGCTTTTTCTCGTCACAAGCTGGTTCATAGTCAACTCAGAGCAAGTTTGAGTGCTGAGCGTCTGAATGATACTCTTTTTGTTCGTTACAACTTCGAAAAAATTCTCAAGATATCGCGCAATGACAAAGAACCAGTCGAAGTACAAGCTGAGATTCAAAACTGGTGTGACGTTGATGATCAAGATAATGATGTTCAAGAGATTCAATAAATTTTTTCAAAAAAAAAACATTTTTCCAAGCTGCTGTATACAGCGCTGTATACGGCAAATAGACAGCTGAATACGGTTTACAGCTAGAACGGCAATATACAGCAAATTGCCCAGCCCTGTTGATTTGGATTCTAAGAAAAAATTTTGATTTTGAAATAGTATGCTTCAAATGAAATTGAGCTTGCGGCAGAAATAGAACATTTCAGTTCTATTACCTAAAGCGGCTAATTTTAAGCTCGGATTGTATTTCAAAAAAATCAGTTACAACTCTAGGTTTATGAAAAGATATTAACCTCTGAGTCATTAGTGTAAGCTGTGTTTCCGTTCTCATCGTACAGCACTTGGTACACTATGTCAGTGTGGGCTGTGACAGTATCCAATGAGATCAGAAGAGCAGTCGTGTTCCGATCCAGAACTGTCGAGTTAGCCTGAGTGGGGGCTGAAAAGAATGCCAAATAAATAAATTTATTCACAGAGAAAAAAACAACGAAACTGAAATACATTTCTCCTTCAAACTATAGGTTAAATCAGGGGCCAAAGCCAAACAAACGCAATATTTTGGTCAAAATTTTCCAAAAAATGCTCAAAACGGCGTTTTTGACCCCTTTATTTCTAAAATTTGCCTGCGGCGCAAAATTGTTTGTCTAAATGGGATCTTCATAATATTCTGTGAGTGCTAGGAAAATCAGTTTGTTCGGCCTAAAAAATAAGATGGACAAAAATTTTTGAAAATCCGCCCCTATCGCGAGAAAATTCTTGATCAGCCCTTAGTTCAATCATAGTATATGTTACAATATTCATTTAACAATCATTATATATTTCATCTTTTTTCACATTTTTTATCATTCATTAAAAAATGCTTGGTTCAATTTTTTTCTGGAAGCCCTTAAAAATAAAACTTGATAACAATATATTTCAAGAAAAAATTTCGAACTGACTATTTGACTTTTGATCAACAACAATTACCTGTGCATAAATCAGTAGTGACATTCTCGCTTTCGAACTGCTGAGCGTTGGAACAGTTGAACACAGCTTTCAAGTATGCCTTCACACAGTTGGCAGGGGTGAGGGAGGAGAAATTGAATGAGTCTGTCTGGTTGGCCAGGTAGGTGAAGTCGGCGTCTCCCTCCTTCATGATGCGGTGGTCGAAATTAGTCACTGTCCAGTTCATTATCCCGTTGTCTGTCGCGTAGAGTGAAGTCTCTTGAGCAAAACCAGTTGGCACGTCGGGATCTGAAAACAAATGATTTCACACCCTTCTAAAACTATTTGTGATTTTACGATTTTGCGCTATATACTGAACTAACCATAGCACCATTTATCGCTTTTAGAATTAATAAACTTGCAATCAAATGCCAATATTTGAAAATTTACAAATACGTCATATGCATCAGAAATCGGTCGTTGCGACTACTTTGATAGGAATACATCTTGGGTCGTCGTGTTAGCAACTGTTTTGAGAAGCATTTATCTTATTCGTCGAACAACTGTCTAAAAATACGTTTGGTAGCAACATTATTGATTACAAAAGCACCCTCGGCGCCAATGTTCTCTCCACTAGATAAACAAGCGCACACCTAATATATGGGGTCTTTTATTCTTATTGGCTCAGTAGAAACCGAAAATCATAAATTTAATGGCAAAGCCGTTGTACATATATCTTTATAAAGCCTTGCTCAGAATTGAAAACATGAAACTCACACGTGCAATACACGACATCTGTCTCCTCGCTGTCAACTGTACTCGGATTCGAACAGGCAGTGCCATCCGATCCAACTTCTGTCACCACTTTGATCAAGAACTCCGTCCCACTAGCCAGACCAGTCAAATCCAGATCTGTAGATGTGTTCCTGGACCCTATTTTAAAAAGTACACATTTAATTATGTCTCTATGTGTGAATCATGGATGGTTTACGTCGTTCTGAGCCGCACATAATTTCGTTTTTTTAAGACCAAATAGACTCATTGAGGTTTTATGGCTAAATTTGAAGCAGCTAAGATTGGGCTTTTTGTTCAAAAACTACTCGACTATCCGATTGCATTAATTTTTTGACATGACCATTATTACCAGTGGTTGCCCTATTGTAGGCCGGGGTTGAGTCCGGGGCAATGCTGGTGACGGCGTAGAGGTCAAAGTTGGTTGCACCTGGAGTTGAAACTCCACTTCCTGCAATGGTGATGTTATCAGTGGTGGAAGAGAGAGTTGCCACTATTGGTGCATCGGGTCCTATTTAAATAGAAGACAATTCAACGATTTCAAATGTAGCTCATAAGGAAAAAAAAACGAGCATCTCGGGTTCATTTCAAGGCTAACGAGAGATGCTTCATTACATAGATCCAATTCAAAATGAAGCAATCAGAGATATGCCGCGTACTATATAACCATTTTCAGTCCTCAAGACGGACTTGAATTGATACGACCAAGTGCTGAAGAGTGAAAGCCAGAACTAGTTCTCAAAGTGAGCTTAGATTTTAGTCTGGTAAAAAGTAAAGCAACGCCAAATCTCTCAGGACTCTAAAGGTGAGTTCAGATTGTAAAATATTTTAAAAAAACATCCAAATAAAAGTTCCAGAAGTATTTCGGTTCATTTGATGAATTAAAAATGCATCAACTGTTTTAATTTATTGCTATTCCAATGTCACAGCACATTCTATCAAAAAGCTGTAAAGGTGCCCCAGAAGTGGCACCAATATTCGCGACTTAAGTTGAAAAAAAGAAGGTTCGTAAAATTACACTAGTTTCGCAAGTGTATTCACAACATTTAGGCTAACTGTATTTTTCTAGATAATTAAAAGTTTTCAAACCCCTCTTCAGACAGGAAAAAAATTCTAGTTAAAGTTTATTCAATTTTCAAATCAGGTCATAATTATATCTCGGAATGTATAAAACCATCGAAAAACAGTTAATTCAAAAGTCAACTGGAGAAAGAAACATTCCGTTACTTTTTTGAAAGCTGGAACAATAAGAATGCTTTGACGCTCTGAAGTTCAATTAAAAAAAACACAGAACTGTGCTCAAAACAAAATAAAATCGAATCAATTTAATTTCACAGATTTTTCAGAAAATATATATATATATATATATATATATATATATATATAAGTGGGTAAAGTGACTTACTTGTGCAAACTTCAATTACTTCTGTAACTGGGCTCTCAGCTGGTGAACCACAAAGTGTGATCACATTCACGAAGGTGAGATTGTAACTCGTACCAGGAGACAAGGCACCAATTGTCATATTCGTGTCGTTATTAGAGGGGTTCGGGGTGATCGTTTCGGCTGCTGGGTCAGGTGACAACGCAGTTAGTTTATACTGGCCCATCGGTCCACTTGTAGCTGTTACAGCGTTCACCTCCGCGGCAACCAAAATTTCAGTATTGCTGGTTCCGGTGATGCTTACAACTGGTGGTCCGGTGAAATCTGGTGGGCTGGGCACTAAACATTTCCACATCACAAACTGGGTTTCTCTTTTAAGAACTTCGAGTTATTGTTAAATGTCTGCGTCTGAGCAAAGCCACAATTTCATCATTGAAAGTAGCTCATTTTCTGTCAAAACTGGAGGAAAAAACTTACAAGTACATCCAGTCTCATATCCAATAGCAACTAAGTCTCCCTTCACACTGATCCCACAGTCTGTCTTACTGCCTATTTCAGCATACACAATCACAGAATAGGTAGATGCGGGATCCAAGTTGGTCAACATCAGGGGCAAACTGGACTGGTTAGTTCTGGAGGAGTTCGAAAATGGGGCAGGTGCAGGGTCTACACTTGCGACAAAAGTGTCGTAGCTTCCTTCGGAGACAGCGACTGTATCGATTTGAATTTGATTCGTATATTGAGTCGCATTCAACCCAACTGTCGGGATTGCTGGAGCTGAAAACTTTTATCGGTAAAAACAACCTCATGAAACGTGTACAAATGGCGACATGGAACAATATTGGGATTCCTATTTTACTGCTTTTTTTCTTATCTAAGCAACACTATTGATAAACATTGGAAAATCAAAAGCCTGAGAAGTAAATAATGAATCTTTATAAGTATCTACTACTTCAGTTTTGAACCAACTTGTGCAAACTTTGTGGGAACTGCTTTCGCTTGAAATCTCTCCATTCAAACAACCGGTGGCAGTGCTCAAGAGCGACTGGACATCAATCGTATGCTGGGTTCCAGCTTCGAGGCCTGTTATCGTGATATCTGTAGTTTCGGACGGCCCGGCATTTACAGCTCCTGCCGACGCCCAGGTGCCTGGATTCGGAGCAACTCCAACTATGTTGAACTTCTCAATTTCACCATTAGTGACCGACACCTTGGATCCGAGGACTTTCAGAGTGCCATTTGTCACAGTGGCATTTATCACGTTAGGGGCTTCCGGTTCTGCAAATAAAGCATTTTTTGAAGTTACGACGCCAGAGGATTAATCTGTACCTTTACTATTTTAAGTTCAACAATTTTCAGTTCGATATTTAAGAGGCGATAAAAAATTGGTATAAAAATCTTGTTTTCAAAATAAGGAGCAAAATGTATGTCAAAAAATTCTTGAAGTCAATAATTTTCATCATATATCAAAAATTATATGAATTAAACTAGAGGGATGTACCGTTAATTGAATGCAAATCTACAAAACATTTACGCGTGCAAAGGTCGACCAGAGTTGCAGCGTCACTGCTATTCCTGCCTCCGCACGTGATATGTCCGAAAAAGGTCAAATTGTATTTGGTTCCTGGCGTTGGAAGAGAAGTTACATTAAAGTCAACATTAAGATCCAACAACCCATCCGAGTTAGCACCACCAGCTGGACTGGATGCTCCAAAATAGATCTTGTCCAGGCTTCCTGTACCCTGGGCAGCGAAAGCTCCCCCGGATCCTTGTATTTGAATCGAAGTCTCGGTTTCAGTGAAAGTTGTAACTGCAGAGACATCCGGTTCTTGTGGTTCTAAAATAACTCAGACGTTGATCATCGTTCAGTGTAAGCTAGCTTCTTTCTTAAATGTCAAATATATTAAGTTGTCCAGATTCGACAACCACAGAAACTGTGAGTCAGATCCTAAGGTGATCAAATTGCATGTTTTTAAACCCTATTTTTTAGCTGCAAATTAATTATCCAGTTTCAGGGACACTCAATGGATAAAGTCTAGCAATAGGTCATTTATTCCACGTAAACCAAAAAATTTATTCGCTCAAGTTTTTAAAAAGCCAACTTAGATAAGCTACAATTATATTAACAATGCGATGCAACTGATGGGTTGTGCCATATCAAGTACGTGATTGCATGATATTTTCAACTTACGTGTGCAAAAAGTGAACTGGTATACATCACTGTCAACTGTAGATGGATTGGAACAAGGCGTAGTGCCCGACCCTACTTCAGTCACAACATCGATCGTGTACTGGACACCGGGACTTAGACCAGTAATTTCAAGGTCACCAGCAGTGGTGAATGAACCCGTAGTTGCACGGTTGAACGTTGGACTGGAATCAGGCAAGATGGCAGTCACAGAGAATTTATCAAAATTGGAACTTCCAGGAGTTGAGACTCCACTTCCGTTGATGATGATGCTGGTGGTAGTTGAAACGACAGTAGCCAAAACTGGTACGTCTGGCTCTAAAATAGAAAACACAAATAGATAGAGACATATTTTGGTTTGAAATCTTTAAACCGTGAAAGCAGATCATATGTTCATTTTCAGAAATTTTATCGATAAGTATTAACGAACCATAATTTCCTGTTTGAAATCCTATTTAAAGTGTTTTTCAGTTTTATATTTTTATTCAGTTTTCTAATACTTAAATTTGCCCCAATTGCTTGAGTTAAAACCCCATTTAAAAAGCCAAATCAATTGTTGGCATATCAAACCGCTTGGTATATAATTGACACCAAGCCTTTGTTCTTTAATTAATGAATAGCAATTTTCATTCGAAATCACAAGAGCATTATTATTGGAATACTAAAACGAGTCCATAAATTTTAAAGATATCGAACAGATTTTGCAGAAAATATATATATATATATAAGTGGGTAAAGTGACTTACTTGTGCAAACTTCAATTACTTCTGTAACTGGGCTCTCAGCTGGTGAACCACAAAGTGTGATCACATTCACGAAGGTGAGATTGTAACTCGTACCAGGAGACAAGGCACCAATTGTCATATTCGTGTCGTTATTAGAGGGGTTCGGGGTGATCGTTTCGGCTGCTGGGTCAGGTGACAACGCAGTTAGTTTATACTGGCCCATCGGTCCACTTGTAGCTGTTACAGCGTTCACCTCCGCGGCAACCAAAATTTCAGTATTGCTGGTTCCGGTGATGCTTACAACTGGTGGTCCGGTGAAATCTGGTGGGCTGGGCACTAAACATTTCCACATCACAAACTGGGTTTCTCTTTTAAGAACTTCGAGTTATTGTTAAATGTCTGCGTCTGAGCAAAGCCACAATTTCATCATTGAAAGTAGCTCACTTTCTGTCAAAACTGGAGGAAAAAACTTACAAGTACATCCAGTCTCATATCCAATAGCAACTAAGTCTCCCTTCACACTGATCCCACAGTCTGTCTTACTGCCTATTTCAGCATACACAATCACAGAATAGGTAGATGCGGGATCCAAGTTGGTCAACATCAGGGGCAAACTGGACTGGTTAGTTCTGGAGGAGTTCGAAAATGGGGCAGGTGCAGGGTCTACACTTGCGACAAAAGTGTCGTAGCTTCCTTCGGAGACAGCGACTGTATCGATTTGAATTTGATTCGTATATTGAGTCGCATTCAACCCAATTGTCGGGATTGCTGGAGCTGAAAACTTTTATCGGTAAAAACAACCTCATGAAACGTGTACAAATGGCGACATGGAACAATATTGGGATTCCTATTTTACTGCTTTTTTTCTTATCTAAGCAACACTATTGATAAACATAGGAAAATCAAAAGCCTGAGAAGTAAATAATGAATCTTTATAAGTATCTACTACTTCAGTTTTGAACCAACTTGTGCAAACTTTGTGGGAACTGCTTTCGCTTGAAATCTCTCCATTCAAACAACCGGTGGCAGTGCTCAAGAGCGACTGGACATCAATCGTATGCTGGGTTCCAGCTTCGAGGCCTGTTATCGTGATATCTGTAGTTTCGGACGGCCCGGCATTTACAGCTCCTGCCGACGCCCAGGTGCCTGGATTCGGAGCAACTCCAACTATGTTGAACTTCTCAATTTCACCATTAGTGACCGACACCTTGGATCCGAGGACTTTCAGAGTGCCATTTGTCACAGTGGCATTTATCACGTTAGGGGCTTCCGGTTCTGCAAATAAAGCATTTTTTGAAGTTACGACGCCAGAGGATTAATCTGTACCTTTACTATTTTAAGTTCAACAATTTTCAGTTCGATATTTAAGAGGCGATAAAAAATTGGTATAAAAATCTTGTTTTCAAAATAAGGAGCAAAATGTATGTCAAAAAATTCTTGAAGTCAATAATTTTCATCATATATCAAAAATTATATGAATTAAACTAGAGGGATGTACCGTTAATTGAATGCAAATCTACAAAACATTTACGCGTGCAAAGGTCGACCAGAGTTGCAGCGTCACTGCTATTCCTGCCTCCGCACGTGATATGTCCGAAAAAGGTCAAATTGTATTTGGTTCCTGGCGTTGGAAGAGAAGTTACATTAAAGTCAACATTAAGATCCAACAACCCATCCGAGTTAGCACCACCAGCTGGACTGGATGCTCCAAAATAGATCTTGTCCAGGCTTCCTGTACCCTGGGCAGCGAAAGCTCCCCCGGATCCTTGTATTTGAATCGAAGTCTCGGTTTCAGTGAAAGTTGTAACTGCAGAGACATCCGGTTCTTGTGGTTCTAAAATAACTCAGACGTTGATCATCGTTCAGTGTAAGCTAGCTTCTTTCTTAAATGTCAAATATATTAAGTTGTCCAGATTCGACAACCACAGAAACTGTGAGTCAGATCCTAAGGTGATCAAATTGCATGTTTTTAAACCCTATTTTTTAGCTGCAAATTAATTATCCAGTTTCAGGGACACTCAATGGATAAAGCCTAGCAATAGGTCATTTATTCCACGTAAACCAAAAAATTTATTCGCTCAAGTTTTTAAAAAGCCAACTTAGATAAGCTACAATTATATTAACAATGCGATGCAACTGATGGGTTGTGCCATATCAAGTACGTGATTGCATGATATTTTCAACTTACGTGTGCAAAAAGTGAACTGGTATACATCACTGTCAACTGTAGATGGATTGGAACAAGGCGTAGTGCCCGACCCTACTTCAGTCACAACATCGATCGTGTACTGGACACCGGGACTTAGACCAGTAATTTCAAGGTCACCAGCAGTGGTGAATGAACCCGTAGTTGCACGGTTGAACGTTGGACTGGAATCAGGCAAGATGGCAGTCACAGAGAATTTATCAAAATTGGAACTTCCAGGAGTTGAGACTCCACTTCCGTTGATGATGATGCTGGTGGTAGTTGAAACGACAGTAGCCAAAACTGGTACGTCTGGCTCTAAAATAGAAAACACAAATAGATAGAGACATATTTTGGTTTGAAATCTTTAAACCGTGAAAGCAGATCATATGTTCATTTTCAGAAATTTTATCGATAAGTATTAACGAACCATAATTTCCTGTTTGAAATCCTATTTAAAGTGTTTTTCAGTTTTATATTTTTATTCAGTTTTCTAATACTTAAATTTGCCCCAATTGCTTGAGTTAAAACCCCATTTAAAAAGCCAAATCAATTGTTGGCATATCAAACCGCTTGGTATATAATTGACACCAAGCCTTTGTTCTTTAATTAATGAATAGCAATTTTCATTCGAAATGACAAGAGCATTATCATTGGAATACTAAAACGAGTCCATAAATTTTAAAGATGTCGAAAGAAGTTCACCATGCTAAAAGACTAGACTCCAGTAAAAAGTCCGACTCCAAAGATCTGACTCCGACGAAAACTGATTTATTTAGGCCTAATGATAAGAATTGAATGCCTGCGCTGCCCTGAAACTATTCTGATTTATTTTTGCCCTGTTTTATTTACGTTCTCATTTTTTTCCGCCTTAAAAACTTACTCGTGCAAACATCTGTAACGTCTGTGGCAGTACTATTCGTCTCAACTGTGCACAAGGTCAGAACATTCACGAAGCTCAAGTCATAACTTGTTCCTGCTTCCAGATTTCCGATTGTCATCTTTGCGTTGTTGGCAGTGTCAGCTGGGAATGTAAACCCGGTGGGAGTTGGGGTGATTGTGGCCAGACTGTACTGACCCATGACTCCTCCGGTCACTGACACCGCAGTTGTCTGAGCGTTCACTTCAATGCTGTCATTTGTGGCTCCAACTACCTGACCACCTGCCAAATTGGTGAATTCAGGAGCACCAGGCGCTGAAGAAAAACAATTAGAATTTTAGACTAGTAAACTCAAATAAATAATCCATAATATTTATTGACCGAACATAAAAAATTGGTAGTTTGGAGAAAAGACATTTTGGAAAGAATTGAGTCCAATTCTCTTGCCTGTTTTCCGGGAACAGATTAAAACTCACCATCGGATCTGATTGTAGACGCCTTGCGCTTCGCAGGTTCCAAAATCAGTACAAAGGAAATCAACTTACGTGTGCAAACTGTAATCTGCTCAACAGCACTGTCTATTGAACTAGGATTCGCGCAAGGGGTGGTACCCGATCCCACTTCCGTCACAACATCAATAGTGTACTGGGTTCCCGAAGCCAGACCAGTTATTTCAAGGTCACCCGTGGTAGCGAAAGAACCAGTGACAGTACGATTGAATGCCGGGCTGGAATCGGGTGTGATTGCCGTTACGGAAAACTTGTCGAAGTTTGTAGCAGGGGAGGTCGTTATTCCAGAACCGTTGATCACAATTGTATTCAATGTCGAAACCGTAGTTGCAATTACTGGCTTGTCTGGGTCTGAAAAAAAAAGAGATTTTAAAACTTGCACGAGCTTTGTGATTTCAGCCGGCCAACTAATCACTCATCCGTGAGTTTCTGAACTCAAAAACAGTCAATTATACCAACGATATGATATGTTTACAAAAACAATAACTGCTGGATTTTGAACCTAGAAACTGCCAACAATTTCGTGTTCTAGCCACAAACTACGGTACCTAAAATATACAAAACTTAAAAAATTGTAAAATTTATAAATTTTGAGGCCATTTTTATCACACTGTGTTTCCGGTGAAAGTTTTGCACTCCAATTTTGCTTTTCAGTCAATTTTTACCCCTTATTTATTCATGCTTAGATCCGCGCTTTCCATTCCCTTGGAAAGCTATCGAGGAGATGAACAGATTGAAATGAACAATACTTACGTGCAGGGGCGGATTTAGGGGGAAGGGGGGCGGACGCCTCCCCCTCTCCTCAGGGATTCGACCCCTTGCCGACCCAAAAAGTCCCCCCTTTGGTACTTTTCAAGAAATCCATTTTTGGCCGACCGACGCTAAAATTTTTCTAAAGGCGCCTTCGGAGCCAATATATACTAATTTTGAGGGCTCGCGCCAAAAAAACGCAACTTTGTGGTCAAAATTTTCCAAAAAGTGCCAAAAGCGCCTTTTTTGGACTGTTTTTTCAAAATTTTGCCTGCGGCGCAGAAACTTTGGCTAAAACAGGGACTAAACTGTGCGTAGGGGGAGAGCTCGAAAAATCAATTCGGTCGACCTAAAAAAAAGGTCGGCAAAATTTCGAAATTTTTTTGAAAATCTGCCCCCTCTCGAGAAAATCCTAGATCCGCCCCTGCTGCTTACGTGTGCAGACATCCGCAACTGCAGTTTCTGCACTGTCAGTGGGCGAGCCACACAGTGTAAGTTCGTTCACAAATAGTAAATCATAGCTCGTTCCCGCTGTCAGTCCAGATACGGTCATGTCCACAGCTGGTGCTGCAGGGTCCGGAGCAGCAGTTCCGTCTGCCGAAGTTAGCTTATAGTTTCCCATCGTTCCCGTATTCTCGGCAGTTACTGGTGTCGTGACTGCAGCCACAACTATGCTGTTTATTGAGGTTCCGGTGATTTGTCCTCCTGCTAGATTGCTGAAGACTGGTTTTTCTGGCACTGAAAAATTAGATGGGTAACTGTCACCACTGAAAACACCTCCTAGCTGTCGCCAATGAACCGATTTCATTGCAACTGATTAAAATACCCGGCACAGTTGACACTTTTTTTGTAGAATTCACACAAATTGAGAAAATTGAATTACTAGGTTACTTTATCATTTCACTGGGAAACCAGAAAAAAATCCAACTTTAAAACTAAAAAAAGAGTTGCGCGTGAACAACTTTTAATACTTTTCTCGCAAACTTTATGATCCTGTGTTTGGCTTCAGAGAATCACAAGAACAAAACGGCGATGTGAAATGTAATATAGACAATTAGAAATCTGCTAAGGAGCTAAGGTAATCTAGAAACATGACGAAACTTTGAGTTTGAAGAAAAAAAACGTTAACACCAAAAGTCATGCGGAGCTTCGCGCCACTTGCGATACAACGAAAGTGTAGCATTGCAAGCCATCAAATAGACAGTGAGAAAAAAATAATTCAGTATAAAAATGAATTTTTTCGGAAAAACGAAAAACGCTCGGAAATACAATATCAGACGAGGAAAACAACCAATAGCAGCAAGAAAGTTTTTGGTATTTTCCGAGCGTTTATTAGGTCAACAAGACATGGTTAGACGTCAATTGATCCAAAAACAAAAATTGCCAAAGCAAATTGTTGTCATAAAAAGAATCAACAATTTTGTTAGAAAACTGTAAAATACAACCTCAGTAAAAACAAACGTGAAACAGAACAACAAGCATTAAACAAGCTTTTAGTATTTTCCGAGCGTTCAAAAAAACTGCACTTGGTCTTAAGCAAAAAAAATGCCAAATAGAAAAAATTTTAAATTTACTTAAACCGATGCAAAATATGTTCACTAACCGACAAAACAAGACCCAAAATCATTTAGGCCGAACAAAAATTCCAAATGAAACGGAAAAAAAAACAGTCATAATCGTAAATTTTAAAAAGTACAGGAGTCACTTGAGACTACAATAAAACCTGTTTACAGCGCAAAAAATTCGTGGTGGGCGTGGCAAATAAGCCGACAAAACATAAGTCGACGAAGTATAGTCCGACTAATCATTTTTCCCGGAAAATTTCAGTATCCGACTCTTGACAGAAACCAGGTCCAACTGGAAACCCAGGCGATTGGGTGCAAAGGCAACCGCCTTAGCTCCAGATCAAGTGGGAAGGGGCCTGGAGGTTGCCAAGAACTGATGAAAGCTGTATATGATCATGGTCCAAGAGAAAGATAGTAAGTGTTTGTAGATAGCTTTTTCAACTTTTTTCAACGTATTTTTTCAGCCTATTTTTGCTGAAAAAAAACTTCCTTCTTTATTTTTTTTCAATATTTTACAATACCATGTTTTCTTTGTTTTAAAAGTGTTGCGAAGCTCAGCTTGGCCTCTGTGTTAAACTTGCGATAGCAAGTGTCTTGTAATCGGGAACCTGGTTTTTTTCCCAAAAACAATTTTTCTTAATTATTTTTAACTGAAGTTGATGTTGCTCAACTTCAATTAAAAATAATTAAGAAAAGTTGTTTATGGGAAAAAAAATTTCGATTGAAATTTTCATCTCAGATTTAATTGGTGGGTAGTTTTTAAGATAACTGAAAAAATTTCGAAAAAAACTATCAAAATTCAAAAACTTAACTTAAGAAGATTCCCAAAATCGTGTTTCTCGATTGAATACCTAATTTGACAATTGTCACGGTAGTTTTCGAGTAGAGTGAAAAACTTCATAAACCGTCAGAGTTTCAAAACCGTCAGATTTGGCAGGATAGTTATATAGTAGAGTCTAAAAACGGTCACCAAAACCTATGATATCAGATTGGGCTGGATAGTTATATAGTAGAGACCAAAAAACGGTCAACAAAACATAAAATTGACATTTCCGAGAATGATATATTTTGAAAAAAAAAACTGGGCGTAGCCGCTTATGCAGAAAAGATTCACCTAATCTGTAATTTCCATTGAACCCTAAAACCCAGGTTTGGCAGAGTAGTTCTCGAGGAAAGCAGTTTCAAAAAACGATAAACAAATCAAAATTCTGACTCTTTCGAGGGGCATAAATTTGTTTAAAAAAGCATGGACGCAGTCAGGCATTCAAAGGATTTTCACAAAACCCTTTTTTGGATTGAACCAAAATCTCCGATATGGGAAGGTATTTTTGAAAAAATCATTAAATTTAGCAAAAAAACGCTAAAAAAAACAAAAAATTGTCTTTTCCGAGGACGATAACTTTTTATGAGAAAAAATTAGAGTTTGCACTAAGGCAAGGGAGCTTCCCACTGCCCGTTAGCTCCATTGAACCAACAAACTCAAGTTTGAGAGGTTAGTTTTTGAGAAAAATTAAAAAGATTCCAAAAACGGTGAAAAAAATCAAAAATTTGACTATTCCGAGGGCCATAGTTTTATGTGTAAAAAAAAGTTTGAGCGTAGCCACGTATAAATGGAGCTTTTCAAAACCGTTTTTTAAAATTGGACCCAATATTCGTTTTTTTTATTCCACCCAATATTCGAAGGCTGTAGACACAGGAGTAAAGCAAAAGGAGACCAGGGTAGTATGCAGGTACACAAAAAAGTAGGCGGTCTTTCTATGGATACTATTTTTTGAAAATCGGTACAAAGGTTTTTGAGAAAAAACTAAAGTGATAAAAATTCCCAAAGCGTCTAAAAAAATAAAACATAAAAAACCCAATACCGTACACTTTCAAAATACCTGTTTTATCAAACAGGAATTTTTGGAAAACATGCCAAGCAAAACATTTGAAATTCAGATTAGCAGCTGAACAAAACATACAAAGCGGAAACGAGGCCGACAATCTTTGAGCAGACACAGGTTGAGCCGAAAAAATAACTGATTTTTTAAAAAGTTTGTAGTCCCGCCTGAAACTACCCTGTAGTAACTAGTACCCGCCCAGTAGTTAAATTTGAAGTTTCATGAAACTGAGCATGTCAGCTAAAGAACATGTCAAGTGAAGAGTGTATCAAGTGATTCAACTGACTTTTTAATTTAGTTGTTAAAACAAAAAAAAGTCTACATTCCGATTTTATAACGCTTGCTAATCGCAAGCGTAATTATATCAACTAGAGGCAGTAATGACTTTAGAACATATACTTTGTCATGGCTGATTTGGAACAGAAACTCCACACACCAGAATCCAAAGTTCGACCATATTTGAGCTCAATTTACAATAAGCTTCAGGTCATTGATTGAAAAATCAACAATAGGTCATTTTTTTAAAAAAAATTAGTTCAAGATCAATTGAGTTTAGTTTTCTCTTTAGTAGAGTTTTTTCCATTCCTGGAAGCACGTTTTGGCCATGCAATGCCTCAATTGGATTGATGACACATCGTGCCTTGTGATGTGAGAAACATGTCACTCAATTTACTGGCTCGGTTTTCGACGGCAACAAGCAGCACTCACACAAGTTTGAATTGCGCACTTGCCAGCACAACTTGGGTTGAAAGAGGAACCCAGGGCTACAAAGGAACGATAGAGGAAGATACGCAATTCTACACTGGTGGTCCCAGAGAGGCTGCAAGTGTGAGTGAGAAACAGAGACTCTACTAGTGGAAAACACCACAGGCAGAGCAAACAACGGCGTCGAAGGTAACTGATGAAATTGGAAAAGCATGTGGAACTCCAGGAGCGTCTGGTGTTGAAGAAGCTTGTGGAACGCGAGGAGATTGCCGAACTGGAGAGGTTTGTGGATCTGACAGATCAGAGATTAAGATAGCAGGAAGTGTAGAAGTAGAAGGGAACTCCTTGGCAGTGGAGCTGGCAGTCAGGGAGGAAAGAGATAGAGGGATCCGATATCCCTATTTGACTGGACATCTATGTGAGGACCATCAGTCTACTTAGTGTTGCAGCAAATGTTCAAATCAAGAGTTCGAACGTTTGACACGAACATTCGAGCGTTCATTTGAATGTTGAACTTCCCAAAATTTCTGAGAGGTAATTTTTTTCCACAAAAAACTGGAACCTGCGCAAAAAAATTAATGAAATATTCAATTTCGAGTCACGTAGTTAATAAATACCAATTATCACACATGAATATTTGCATATCAACATGCTCCCCAGATAACAAACTGCGTTTTTTTGTTACCACATCACCAACTGTACTAAAAACACGCTCTGATGGTGTGCTCGATCGTTTTCCAACCAATTAGAGAGCAATATGCGTGAAATGCAATTATTCACACTCACATGACAACTTTGTTGTAGAATAATCTATATTCGAATGATGAACTTAGCATTCGAATGTCAATCTCGCGAATGAACGTTCGAACTATTGTTGCAACACTAAGTCTATTTACGTGGCCAGCTTTTGGAAAAGACCCTTAAGGCTGACAATAGAACAGGAAGGTGTGAAGAAGGTGTGCCAGCATTGACAGTGTTGAGAGAAGAAATATGTAATCTGTAATCCCCGAGATAGCGAGTGAGATCACTGGGTTAAAACACGTGGAGATGGGAGAAGACCTATGACGAGTTTTGGGGCTCAAAATAGAAAGAAACAATAGTTCCAGTGAAATAGCTCAGATGAATAAACACCCAGACAAACTTCAGCTGCGTGATAGGCGACAAGAAAGAACGCAGGGAGCTGAAAGCAAAAATTTACGACGAACGTGATTGGTGAGGATGATAATATTTGACGTGAAACCAACAAGAGTCCATAGAGGAGAATGTGAATAACTCATTGTCATGGAACTAATGGGCGCCCAATGCGAGCGATGTCTGATATGTAACAGATATGCCTTTATATGACCGACTACATTTTTTAACGTCTTCCTGCCAGAAAGATAAAGCATGGACACAGCTTGGAAACTTCAACTCTAAGTTAATCAGAGGTCTGTTTGCTTGCCGCACGCTATGGTAAAACCTTCAAACTTCTATTTTCGAGCAAAAGAGGCAACCACATAAATACTAAGATAGCCGATTGCTGTGTAAGTAGCACAGAATGCTCCAACGATATTCTTAAAAAACTACAAAAATAAACTTATTTTATTTGGTGTCATGGTTTTAGGTGTGGTGTATTGAAACGATCTATCTGATCGAAAGCCCAGAATTCAGTTAGATTCAAAATTCAGAATCTAGTAAAGAAGGCATATAGGCATACCCAAAACAGCACTAAAATTGAAAACTTAATTTAATGGAGGAAAACTCAGGGCTTGAATAAAAGTTAAACGGCGAATCCTTCCAAAAAAAGCCTACTCGGGTGCTTTTTTAGCTCGAAATTAGACTAAAAGTCATTAACTAAAAGTCGAAATTAGACAAAAAGTCAAATAATGTTCAAATCACGACTGAAAGGGCTTTTTTATGATATAACACTCCTCGCCATATTTCGAAGATTATTTGCGGTACCTAATTTTGTGAGTTAGAAGATAGGAGGAACTAGAAAAATACTTAGAACCTTATGAAATTAGCCATAATTGACTACAGTTGTCTTCGATGACAAACAAAACAAAAAAACTTTAATATGATTTATCACTATCCTCGTTTTGATAATTATTTATGGTACCTGATTCTGCGATGAAACAAAAATGAAACACAGAGGTGAAGCTGAGCTTTGCACCACTTGGGATACAAAAAACAAGAAAGAAGTTGAAAAAAAACTCGAAAATGTCCAAAAAAAATAGATCTACTAGATCTATCAGAACGAATAAGGCTAGGTTTGGATAACAAACGCGCCAGGATAATAGAATGCAAAATAAGCATTCAAAGAAAAAACTTACCAAGCTGCAATAAAACCGAAAATGCATTAGCAGAAACTCTTACAGCCGAAACAAAATGAAGATTTATAAAAATTTATTATTCACACACCTCAAAACACACACACGCAAAAAAAAAACTTTATTAGCAGGTCAAATAAAACAATATGCGGCCAAAAACAAGCCAAAAAATATATAGGTCAAAAAATACTACGCTGAAAACAAAGGCAAAAGGTAAAAACACAAAAAAGCGAAAAAAAAATTAACACTAATAAAATGCTATTAAGTTCCCCTCACCTTCGAAACACAAACATGCAAAAAAATTCATTGGTCGAACGATATAACGCAATATGAGGCCACTAAGCCACTATAATATAGGTCGAAAACTATCCAGCCAAAAAAAAAGAAGAACTAAAAAGCTAAATTTGGACAAATCGACTTAGTAAAATTACAGCCAACATTTAAAAATAGGACAAATATTTAAAATGCTAACATGCACTTTACCGAAGCATGGCAGCATTTTAGAAGTGGTAAATTTGTTGGTAAGAGGCCTGTGAACAAAGTTATTTACGGGAAAAAAGTCTAGTACTCGATTGCAATACCCTTGCTTATCGCAAGGGTAAAGAAAACACCCGAAAACGGTTTCTCTCCACTTTCAGTGGTGGAAACAAAAATCTACTACAAACGATTCCGACTTACAAGTACAGAAGGTAAGATTGACGTTTGAAGTTTGTGTGTTGTCGGAAGAATTCGTGCTCGTGATCTGGAAAGTGTACTGGGTGGCGGCCGGACTGGCTGACATGATCTGTTTGATGGCCACTGTGAAACAAAAACAGATTAAGATTAATTATGATTAAAAACATGAAAAAACTTGAAATAACAGAGCTGCTTCTATTGGCATGAGTGTATAAAACTCTCAATAAATACATTGGTGTCTCGAGGATCAAGGATTTATGCTCGTTTGTTTACGGCTCAAGCAATTCCCCTAAAGATGAGCACTAACATCTAGATATATTATATAGAGGTTAAAGCTCCAATTAAATAAACCGCTCAAATGTGGTTATTTCCAGCGTGAGAAATCGGTTTTAAAAATTATTACACAGACGCTAAACGGAACTTTGTATTATCGATACTCTACGAAATAAAATTAATAAGTACATAGCAAATTATGCCAGCAAAAAATTTGGAATATTCCTATGATTGATTGTATTGGTTAAACTGAATGATTTGAAATAAATGAGCCTTCACAGAACAAAGCCGACAAAAATAAGCCGATAGAAGAAAAAGTTTTTTTTTGGAGCAAATAAAATGCAGATCCCGTCTAGACTCAAGCCCAGGCCTTTGTTTTCTCAGGCATCAGCGTTAGCTCAATGCTACATGAGCAAAATAAGTATTTGAACTTCAATTTATTAAACGGCAAGTTGAGTTTTATGAGCGAACTCTATGATCAAAGTTTTTTGATCGAAAAAGCATAAAGTTCCAAAACAACACTCTTGCTTGTCGGCAGGGTGAACAACACCAGCAGACGGACAAATCAAGCCGAAAAAAATATTGAAAAAATTCAGACTTTTTAAAGTTATCAAGTCCCACTCACCCTCAAAACAAACACAAAAAACTTTTTTCGCTCGTCGAAGGAGGCAAAATTCGGTCAAAAGCCGATATAAAACAGGCCGAAACCTATCAAGCCGAAAAAAAAAGAAAATTCAAAACAAGATATGAAATCGAGTTGATAAAATTACTAAATACAAAAAAAATTCGAACAGGGCAGATATTAAGAAAGCCAATAAGACAAAAAATATCTGTAGCGGTAAATTGCTTGCTGAGAGGCTTCAATTAAAAAAAGTCCAATGAAAAAAGTCCTGTGAACAAAGTTCTTTACGGCGAAAACGTCTAGTACCCGATTGCAATACCCTTGCTTATCGCAAGAGTAAAAGTTAATAAATCCCCTTGTCCTCAAAACACACAGACACTCAAAAACTTTGTTTTCTCTTCAAAAAAACAACATGAGGCCACTACGCCGATATAATATAGGCCAAAACATATTAAGCCCATAAAAGGGGTAAAAAGCCGAAAAAAGTCCCTCTCACCCTCCAAACACAGAAAAGCACACGCAAACTTTTTCGCTCGTCAAAGAGACGCATAATGAGGCCAATAAACCGATATGATATAGAGCGAAACTTATCAATTCGAAAAAAAGGAAAAAATGGCCGAAAAAAATGTTTTCATGAAAAACTTGAACTATGATTTCATATTGAGTTTTCTTAGCATTTTGTGCGATCCAGAGATGAGCATTAAAAAAAACAATTCCGTTGAAACTACTCAAAATTAATTCACAAAGCCGGGAAAAGATAGGCCTAAATCCTTTGGGCTGAATAGAGTTTAAAGCAAAAAAAAAGAAAACATACGAAGTCAAGGTTAATAAAATTACAAACAGCAGAGGTGAATCAGAAAACTAAGCAATATAATGTGAAAAAAAACTAAATAAAAAACAATTGTAACTAAGCCTACAAAACATAAGCAGACAATAATAAGCCAACAGTTTATTTTAAAACGGATCATTTGCCATTTAAAAAAAAGTCCTGTAAAATTTGAACTCAAAACCTTTGCCCTCCCAGATGCATTCTGTACCTCCAGACAAAAAAGTGTGCCGGAGACGCGAAGAAATTTGAACTCATTATGAAGTGAACCTAAATTTACTATTTCTAATTTTGACCATTCTGTTAACAAAGTTATTTACAGAAAAAAGTCTAGTACCCGATTGCAATGCCCTAGCTTATCGCAAGGGTGAGACTACGAATAAATTAAAAAGAAATCAAATTCTCAAAAAAAGATTGTGCACATGAGATTTAACCAGGGACCAGTGTTTTGACGTACAATAAAAAAAAATCATATAAGAAATAATCGTATAATCCGACTATCGGATAGGGTATATTCGTAAATTTTAGCTTTCGTAGGAAAACGTATAATCGCATAACTTGAGATCAAAATCCTAACTCAATTATGGAAAAACTCTAGTACCCGATTACAATGCCCTTGCTTATCGCAAGGGTAAGACTACAAATAAATTAAAAAGAAATTAAGTTCTTTAAAAAAGATTGTGCGGATGAGATTTAACCAGGGACCAGTGTTTTGGCATACAACCAAAAATCATTTAGAGAATAATCATATAATCCGACTATCGTAAAATGTATAATCGTATTTTTTAGCTTTCGTAGGAAAACGTATAATCGTATAACTTGAGATCAAAATCCTAACTCAATTACGGAAAAAACTGTAGTACCCGATTACAATGCCCTTGCTTATCGCAAGGGTAAGACTACAAATAAATTTAAAAGAAATTAATTTCTTTAAGAAAAGATTGTGCAGATGAGATTTAACCACGGACCAGTGTTTTGGCATACAACAAAAAATCATTTAGAGAATAATCGTATAATCCGACTATCGTACAATGTATAATCGTATATTTTAGCTTTCGTAGGAAAACGTCTAATCGTTTAACTTGAGATCAAAATGCTAACACAAAATCCCAACTCAACGTTGTTAAGATTGCTTTGCTGCTCGATTATATTTTTTGTCGAAAAGCTTTTGGGGCTACAAAAAAAACAGTTCAAATTGGACTTGAGCCGTCCATATGGGGGCTATTCTCATACGCGATAAACTCGAGGGTGAAGAATCAATTGCCATTCAAATAAAATGAAGTATAAAGCAATATTTTGCATCTTTCATAACGAAACTCTGGAAATATAAAATTTGTTCCAACTCGACTTCGGTCAGTGACAATTTCCAAATTTTGCATATTTCTGCCGTTTTTATATTCGGCCAATATCAATATTAAATCCTTGGAAACGTTACTTTCTTTCAGATTTTCACAATTCTTTCCAAATTTTAGATTACTGAAATCTGATTGGCTGATTTTTATTTTCGAGCATTCGGTCCTTCGCATACGCGGGATTCCATCCGTCTATATATCAATCCACTTTACAGTATTCAACGAAAAAATCATTGTCTCACAAAAAATAGAAGTCAATAATCGTTTCAAATAATCGTATAATTTAACGTATAAATCTGATTCTCGCATAATATTATATCCTATAAGGGGTTTTGGTTTTTTCGTAAAATTTGTAGATCGTATAACGCATACAAAACATTGCCAGGGAGCGCTAAAGTTTGAATCATTTGCTTTTACAACTGCGCAATACCGCAATGCTGTGCTCCGATTAGCAGGCAGCAATAATTTTGCGTTGATAAAGCGAATATGGTAAATGATATTAAACCCCCAAATAAAATTGGAGCAGTATACAGATAACGAAATGGAACACAAATGTTGCAAAAAAATGCGCTGATGAAAAAGTTAGATAACATATTCTAAAGGACATACATTTTCTCAACAGGTTAAAATACATGAAATACAAATACATGTTTTAGTTGGTACTACTTTGGCGTATAATCTATTCCCCACTGTAAATTAGTCTGACAAACTCAAACTAATCTGAAAACGCTGTAATTTAGTCTGAAAAAGAACGGTGTTTTCAGACTCAAGACAAAAATTCAATCCCAACACAAAAATAAGATTGTCCAAAGATTTTTTAGAAGTCAATTAATGGCAGGAAGCCTGCTAGTATCGCAACATTCTCAGCGGTGTCCTAGCACCGTTACTCGAAGCACCTGAAATCTGACTAAAATCCGTCTGCGAAGAGTTGATATAAAAACTTCTCTAAATATCGGTGAACTCAAAATGTTTTCATTAATAATGTGTTGTTTCCCCAGATAGTCTTCTTTTAACAGAAAAAGAACTAGAAAAAAAAACAAAAACGCATGACGGAACAAATTCAACAATTTTTAACAAAAAAAATCAACTTATTGAAAATTTGAAGTTAATAAATTTGATCAAAAAGACAAAAGTTCCATATCTTGAACTTGAAGTTCCATATTAAGTAGCTGTTCTGTTTCATCCTATATCGATTCGAAAATTCTGAAAAAGAAGTATGTGGAGCCCGAGTCAAAAAGCAAACAAGTGAAAAACCACTAAAACCGAAAAAAAAACGGTTTCATCGTTTTGCAGTTAGCAATTATTTTCATGCCTGTTCTTATCAGCGTTGTTTCAAATCAGCAAAAAAAATTTTTTAATTGCATGAATTTTTGGAGTCTTTCACGAGATCAAAAATGGAGAAAAAATCAATCGTGTAGGCAAAAAATGAATATTGTTTTTTTAAATTTTTGCTATCGGAAGAAATCATATTTTCAGATTATAAAAAAATTGTAAAAAAAAATGCCTAAAATTTATACTCAGAGAGAAGAAGGCTAGAGCTAGAAGAATGGCCGCGTATCAAAAGTAAATAGTACAGAAACATAAAATGAAAAAACACGCATATTAGAGAAATATTAACTATCATAACATTGAACTTAAATTACAAGCATAAATTTGAAAATTACAAAAAATGTGTTCATATGCTTTAAACTTGCAAATCACTTTTTAAATTGCTTAAACAGAGGAGAAGCTCAGCTTCGCACCACTTGCGATACAATTATGAATGTTATGAAAATCAAACGGAAAAAAATTCTAAAAATCTTTTTTGTCAAAAAAATTGCAACAACCGCCCGAAATATCAGAAACAGAAATGCCTGCACCATGAACCAATAGAAACTCTACAAACAGCTTTGAGAAAGCTATAGAGAAGCCAAGTTTTCAAAAAAATCCCTTTCTGAGAAACTAAGCAGAGAACTTATAAGAAATGTCAAGTCCTTTTACTATCAGAGCGCACACACGAGCACAAAAACTTTTTTCGGATGTAACGACGCAATAAGAGGGCACTAAGTCGATATTAATTATGCCGAAATTTATAAGCTGATGAGAAAAACGAGAAAAAGAAAAAAGTGAAATTTTAACAAGTCGAGCAGGTTCAATTACAACCAATGCGAAAAGCAAATTTCGATTCGGCTGGATTTTTAAAATAATATTGATAACGCTTAAGGTCCTTTGGAATATTCCTATGATTAATTGGATTGAATAAAATAAATGATCCTTTACAAAACAAAGCCGACAAAAATAAGCAGATTGAGGAAATCGTTGTTTTTGCTGCAAATAAAATACAGATCTCGTCTAGACTCAAGATCAGGCCTTTGTCTTCTCAAGCATCAGTGTTAGCTCAATTCTAGATAAGCAAAATAAGTCTTTGATCTTCAATTTAAAATACTGCAAGTTGAGTTTGATGAGCGAACTCTATGAACAAAGTTTTTTTTGACCGAAAAAGCATAAAATTCGATAACTACACTGACGAACCTTTGGTACTATATTAAGACCTGCGTTTTTGGCTGGCCGTCCCTAACCATTTTCTAAAGGCGCTTTCAGTGCTAATATATACTAATATTGAGGAAATAGCGACGTTATCTTTAGTCAAACTTTCCAAAAAGAGTCTAAAAACGTTTTTTTTTCTGGCCATTTTTTTCAAAAAAATTGCCCGTGGCGCAAAAAAAAATAAAAATTGGGTTTTATAGCAATTTCAGAGAGATAGGAAGATCAACATGGTCGACCTAAAAATAGGTGGACAAAATTTGCGAAATGTTTTTTGAAATTCCTAATTCTACCCCCTCGATAAAAACCTATCCGCCCCTGGTTGAGACTTATTCAGTCTAAGTTAAGCAACATAGGACAAATAACCCGATACAAGCTTCGCAGAGTGCCATTTAAACAGATAAAATTTCTCTTATGAAAACCTACGGTACAGGATTTTTTTCAATGAAAACTAATCCCATCAGTACCATTTGACACTAGTTGGTCGAAACCGAACAAAAAAGTTAATTCACTTTCAAAATAATGTAATAAATTTAACAGTAATCTAGAGCACATTGGTAGTTTGATAACGTCCGACAGGGTTGGCAAATTGTATGTTATTTTCGAAAAATAACAACAGTTAATTGTTGAAAAAAAAATATGTTATTTATGTTAAATTGTAAAATAATTCAACCATTTAAGAAATAGGTTAGATCATGGTTAGAAATCATAAATACCATTGTAAGTTAAATTGAATGCTAAATAACAATGCTAAGTAACTTCCCAACCCTGACGTCCGGAAAGAAAAATCGCGATGGATAGTCTTTAGCCAAGGAAGTAATAGCTTTTCTACCTGTGAAGTTCTCGTTAGCCACACCCCCGTGCAGAGTACAGGCGGATACGCAGTCTATCTGGTTGAAATCATACTGGGCGCCGTCCAGCTGCACTGTGATGTCGGCTGTCGTTCGGGAGACGTAGCTCAGATTGGCCACCGCAGAGCCTTAAATGCAATACAATTCCCCACTTTTAGTTCACATCGCTTTTTGATACCCTTCTCTTCGATTCGAGGTGGAATAAGGCTCAATTTTTGGCTACTACGCAATTGCACAGAACTTAAGCAAAACGAACTTAAGATTTGATTTATACTAAGAATCAAACCAACTATTCAAGCAACTAATGAGCATTTTTGTAGGGTTAAAGAGAACATGGCAGACTGTACTTGGCGGACAGTTCAGCATAGCGCTGCAACCTGGAGAATTGAAGATAAAATTATCTAAAACGTTCTGTCTGGGTATTTTGATATCTCCCGGATAATTTGTCAAGGCATAATCGTCCCGGACACAAAACCCGAGACATTTATGGTTACATTCGTGGACTCGTACAGATCTGAACTTTTCGCCGCACAAAACTAGTTTGTGATAAAAAAATAATAATTTCGCCCATCTACAAGAAATTTTGGGAAAAATCGCACAATGAAGAAAAAGTATGCTCAAATTTGATGTCACAAAAAAATTTTTTGACGCATTTCTTAATTGCAGGAAAAACTGCATAAACGGACCAAAACGATCTTTAGAGGCTTATAATTTTCAGAAGCCACTACAGCTCTGCAACTTGAATATGTTGGCTAAAACGAGCATAGACGAGCATGCGAAATTGCGATTTTTGAAAACTCTGCAATTTCATAACCCATCTCAGCTTTGCATAATTTTCACCAGCAGCTTAAAGCCGTGTATACAATACCTCTATTAACAACTTCATTTCAGAAAATGATGAAAAATTTGAAGTCACAGTTGAAGTTTAATTATATACCCACACAAAAAGATTAAAAAAAACTAACAATCTTACCCGAAGCAGATGACATCAGTAGCTGGAGAACGATTATTGAGGACAAAAAGGGGGTCATTTTTGGTAGTGCCTTGGGGACTAAACAATCCCCCGCAGGGTTATCGCTAATTACAGAGAACAAGTTAATACTCTTGCGTTAATCAAAAAATAGGAAGAGCTAGTTCAGTTTTATTTCTGCAATGTTGGTTTATTCACAAAATAACAAAAATTCGATTTTACTGCTAATCTTTAGACCAAAGAAGCGCGAAGCATTAAATAAACACGGTTCAAGAAACATTCAAAATCAGTTAATATCTAAAATTAATCAGCATACTTTTCAGACAATTATTTAACGTTCAATTATTTTCATCAATACTTGAGTCGTAGTCATTTTTTATTAACCAATTCTTTGCGGATGAAATTATGCAAAAAACGTTGAATCAAATTTGCGCTAAAACTTTGAGTGGCCCAATTAAGCATAATTAGATAAGACAAACGAGCGTGCTGCAGCCAAAACATTATATCTCACTGACGCAGTTGGAACCTCAATCATAAACAAAATAAGGCAAAATAACGACTACAATTAAAACAAGGATAGCACGGAATGGTTTGACCACTTTATTTATGTAAAGAAATCCAAACATCATAAAAACAAAAAAACGAATTTCATTTATTCAATTTTCTTCATGTTGTTTTTTTCCAATAAAAGTCAATCGAATGCTTTAATGAGACAATAATATAGTTAAAATTTTGAGTAAAACACAGTTGAGTTAAGCTAAATGTTGAATTGCAATCGACTCTCGTATCTTTGGTAAATTTCGGGTCTTTAGCCTGAAAAACGGAAAAATGCAGGCAATTTTTTTCGATATAGGCAGATTTTAAGAAAATTTTTGCAACCCGAATCACGACTCATAGTGATTTAATATGATACCACATTTGACCACCTGTGAGTCTACCTTGAGGCATTTAAAATTGAACAAAAAACACTGGCACATCAATTGTTTCTTTTCCCTGATTTCTTGAGCTGGTCGCATAAATAAACCTGTTTGCTGAGCAAAAAGTATATCCAAAATAAACGAGGACAGTTACATTGACAAAAATATTTACAGAACAGAAAAATATTAATAGATTTCTTTCAGATATTACACACTACAGCTGAGCCGAACTTCACGTCGCTTGCGATACAAGGCAATCGTAGCATTGCAAGCTGGCGAATATAAAATGAGACCGAGATAACCATATCGGAAAAAAAAACTGTTGATATATAAAATCCAATTTACAAAAACAATCGAAAAATACAACAACCAGCTTTAAAAAGGGTTTTAGTAAACACCGAAAGTCCACTAACCTGGCAACGTGCTATCTGGAGTGCCTTTACGCGGCGGCAGGGATGGGGCAAAACGGGCGGGACCTCAAGCCAGAGCTTCCGCGCGGCCCTCCAAATCCACCAGAATCCATCCCCGGAGTTCGTCGGAGAACTGCAAGGCGCGCTCAAACTGGGCGGGTTTTTGCTTGGGCTGGTCGGTAAACCCGCACACCAGACCAGCCTCATCCTGCGTGCGGGAGACGTCGAGAAGAACCCAGGGCCAGTCAGGTGGCCCTGCGGAAAATGCGGATTAGGGGTATCGAACAAGGATTACTCCATCCGCTGCGGAGACTGTCATCAGTGGGTGCATAGACGGTGCACGGGCATGTCAGTGCCGGAGATCAGGAGCTGGCAGCAGTGGCGCTGGCACTGTGGGTGCCGACCCAGCCCTCCCCCCAGCGTTCCAGCCCCACCCTCACCACCGGTCATCCCCACCCCAAAGCAAACACCAACACCACCAGTGCCTACGGCCAATGGCCCTAAGGCCAAGGGACCTCTCGAGCTCAGGATCATGCAGCTAAACATCGCAGGCTGGAGAGGGAAAGCCACGGCCCTCAACAAGTTGCTTGATGACCTGAAAATCGACGCTGCGGTAATCCAAGAGACCAAGATCACCGCAAAAGATCCCAGCCCAAACACCAACGGATGGACCACTCTGAGAGCCGATAGGACCATCCATCGGACACCAGGAGAGCACCCTCAGGGAGGCCTGGTCACTTTAGTGCGACCGGGAATTGTTGTTGAGCAACTGCCAAGTCTCCGACTCCCCGACTCAGCCGCCCTGGAGTCTATCGGTGTCAAGCTACACCTCCAAAAAGGCGACCTAGATATCTGGAATGTGTACCGCCCCCCAGTCAGGGGAGGCTCAGATGACCGCGACGCAGACCTTTATTTGGACAGGTGGCCGCACAGCGGGAAGGTTCTGATCTGCGGAGACCTGAACGCGCACGGCACTTGGGACAGCTTCGTGGAGAGCGACACTTTGGGGGAAGCAGTGGAGGTCTGGCAGATCTCCAGTCAGATGTCTCACCTCAACACTGGAGCCCCCACCCGCGTGGACCACTCGGGCAACCCCTCTGCACCAGATGTGTCCTTGGTTCACTCCAGTCGTTCTCACCTGTTCTCATGGAGTACCCTCGACACTATAGGGTCGGATCACCTTCCGATCCTCATCGAGATCACCAATGCTGCCCTCCCCGGTAAAAAGGAGAAGCGGAGACCTAATTACAGAAAGACAGATTGGAACCAGTTCAAACTGGAGTGTGAGAAGCGCTTCGACGAGCGCGACAACACGGGCCTCTCCATTGAGAAGGAGCACGCGCAGTTTGTGGAGACAGTTCTCGAAGCAGCTGCCCGTTGCACCCCACTCGGTGGTGGGAAGGGCCCTAGAAAGCCATGGTGGTCCAGGGCCTGCACAGAGGCCAAGAAGGCGGTTTCTAGAGACTTCAGGCAGCTTAGAAACTCCCCTGGAGACCCAGAGGCAGTCAGACGCTATACAGAGTCGAAGATCAATATGGACAGGACCGTCAAAGACGAGAAGAGAAGAAGCTGGAGAGAGTTCACCGGTACTCTCACCCCGCAGACCCCCACCACCAAAGTCTGGGGGATGCTGAGGAGCATGGATGGCAGACAGAAGAACTCCCTGCCAGACGCGCCTATTAAGCAAGGGGACACCACGGCAATCTCGGACTGGGAGAAAGCCAAGTTGGCAGCGGCGACTTACGCCAAGGTGAGCCGAGTACGCATCCCGCGCGCTCAGAGCAAAGCCGCTTACCTGACTGTCAGAGCGGCACTCCGACCGGCGAGAGACCCGGTTACGGACGAGCTGGAGTCTGACTTCACCCTGGCACAACTCAAGATAGTTCTGGACAACCTCTCCCACGGAGCGCCGGGAACGGACACTGTCCACCCTCTACTTCTAAAGCACCTCCCGGACTGCGGGCAGACTCGCCTGCTCGACCTCATAAACCGCAGTTGGGTAGAAGGGAGAGTCCCCATGGCTTGGAGAAGAGCGGTCATAGTGCCCATTCTGAAGAAGAAGAAGCCGGCCCACGAAATCAAGAGCTTTAGGCCTGTCTCGCTTCTCTCTTGCATCTCGAAAGTGGCCGAGAGTCTGGTTGAGAGAAGAATCCGCTCCTGGTGCAACGACCACGACGCGATCCCTCCGCAACAGTCAGGGTTTCAACCGAAGAGATCGACCCTCGACGTCATCACACACGTCACACAGTCAGCCTTCGACTCGCTTCAGCGACGGGACAGGTCAGTCCTGGTAGCAGTCGACTTCAAGGCAGCATTCGACCGCGTGTGGAAAATGGGCCTCCTGAGAGACCTGGCGGCCGGGGGCCTCCCCTCCCGATGCCTCCGCTGGCTCCGTGCTTTCCTGTCGGACAGATACGCCGCCGTCCGCTGGAACGACACCCTCAGCCCATTCAGACTCTTCCAAGAAGGCCTCCCTCAAGGCAGTCCGCTCTCGCCCCTTTTGTACTGCATTGCGACCGCGCGGCTGCCACGTGCAGCGTTTGAGGCAGCCCCAGAGAGTGAGACCGATCAGTACGCAGACGACTTCACGCTGGTTGCATCTGCGAAGACCCCAGAGCTTGCAGCCGAGGCTGTTCAACCAGCTCTGGACGCCGTTACGGACTGGGCAAGCAACAACCACGTCCTTTTCAGCATGGACAAGACGGAGGCGCTGATTATCTCCCTGGATCCCCGGGAGACTTGCGGCAAGGCACAACCCACCCTCCGCCTAAACCACGAAGAGGTTTCCTATGCCTACAACCCGGAGACGAAGAAGACCACTGGCCCGGATATCCTAGGTGTGAAGTTCGATTCGCAGCTTCGTTTCAACCAACAGACCGAGATCGCAGTGAAGAAACTGAAAAACAGGACGAAAATCATCCAAGCTCTTGCCGGGAAAGATTGGGGTCTCAGGGCATGCGACCTCCGCCAGCTCTACAAGTCGTATGTCCGACCAGGAGGGCTGTATGCGGCCGGTAGCTGGGGTTGTTTCCTCGCAGACTCCCACATCAGAAGACTAGAATCCTGCAACTACAACGCAGCTCGGACCATCATAGGAGCCCCCTCTGGCTCCCCTGCTGCCCCAACCTGCTCAGAAGCAGAGCTTATTCCGATCGAGCAGGTCATTCAGGAAGAGGCGACTCTGTTATTTAATAAATACACTCGATTCCCGGAAAGTCACTTTCTTCATGACCTGACCAAGCCGGTTGCCACGCGGCCAAGACTGAAGTCTAGAGGAGAAAGCTCGTTCCGCAAGGACTGGCGACAGACGGCCTCCAGACGGATCGCAGAAATTCCACGAGGCTCGTCGGTCAGAGCTCAGATAATCCAGGACCGCGAGGACAGAGCCAGAGCGACCTACTTCTCCCACACACCCGCAGACTCCTGGCACAGAAGGTGCACAAACGGTCAGAGTCTCCCAGTCTGGACGACCAGAACGCGGGAGGAAGAAGTCGCCTTACATCGACTTAGACTAAACCGCGCCACACATCTCCAACACTTCCGACACCGAATCGGAAAAGAAGATTCGCCAATTTGCACCAACTGCGATCTTCAACAAGAAGAAACGGCCGAACATTATCTACTAACCTGCCCACGCTGGACTAAGGAGAGGCTCGACTGCCTGGGAGCGGTTCCAGATCCGTCAATCCTGCAGAACGCCCCCGAGAGCGTGGTTTCGTTCATCCGACGAACTGGCATGATCAATGCCGCTTAATCAGTGAAAAGCCCGGGACAACCAAACCAAACCAAATAGCTGGGTAGATGCCCTTTGAGCCAAAAACAAAAAAAAATGCCATGAAAAAATGTTGCCTAATCATTTTTTGCCCTCCAAACAAAACAAAATTAAGTTCAGTAAGCCAATAAAACATACGCCGAAAAAGTTTAAGCCAGTTTAATAGAAACAAAA